AGAAGAAGAAGAGGAGCATCGACAGACGGAGGGAGCAGCAGGAAGAAGAAAGAAGAAAGACGAGGAGCATCGACAGACGGAGGGCAGCAGGCAGAGAAAAAAAAAAAAAAAAAGGAGGAGGAGCATCGACAGACGGAGGGAAGCAGCAGCAGAGAGAAGAAGAAGAAGAAGAGAGGAGCATCGACAGACGGAGGAGCAGCAGGAAGAAGAAGAAGAAGAGAGGAGCATCGACAGACGGAGGGAGCAGCAGCAGGAAGAAGAAGAAGAAGACGAGGAGCATCGACAGACGGAGGAGCAGCAGGAGAAGAAGAAAGAAGACGAGAGCATCGAAGACGGAGGAGCAGCAGAAGAAGAAGAAGAAGAAGAGAGGAGGCATCGACAGACGGAGGAGCAGCAGGAAGAAGAAGAAGAGACGAGGAGCATCGACAGACGGAGGAGCACAGGAAGAAGAAGAAAGAAGAAGAGAGCATCGACAGACGGAGGGAGCAGCAGAAGAAGAAGAAGAAGACGAGGAGCATCGACAGACGGAGGGAGCAGCAGCAGCAGAAGGAAGAAGAAGAAGGACGAGGAGCATCGACAGACGAGGGAGGAGCAGCAGGAAAGAAGAAGAAGAAGAAGAGGAGCATCGACAGGGGAGCAGCAGAAGAAGAAGAAAAGAAGAAGAGGAGCATCGACAGACGGAGGGAGCAGCAGGAGGAAGAAGAGAAGACGAGGAGCATCGACAGACGGAGGAGCAGCAGGAAGAAGAAGAAAGAAGAAGAGAGCATCGACAGACGAGGGAGCAGCAGAAGAAGAAGAAGGAAGAAGCGAGGAGCATCGACAGACGGAGGAGCAGCAGCAGCAGAGGAAGAAGAAGAAGACGAGAGGAGGAGGGAGCATCGACAGACGAAGCAGCAGCAGGAGGAAGAAAGAGAAGAGAGGAGCATCGACAGACGGAGGGAGCAGCAGGAAGAAGAAGAAGAAGACGAGGAGCATCGACAGACGGAGGGAGCAGCAGAAGAAGAAGAAGAAGAGAGGAGCATCGACAGACGGAGGGAGCAGCAGGAAGAAGAGAGAAGAGAGGAGCATCGACAGACGGAGGAGCAGCAGGAAGAAGAAGAAGAAGACGAGGAGCATCGACAGACGGAGGGAGCAGCAGGAAGAAGAAGAAGAAGACGAGGAGCATCGACAGACGGAGGAAGCAGCAGGAAGAAGAAGAAGAAGAAGGAGCATCGACAGACGGAGGAGCAGCAGAAGAAGAAGAAGACGAGGAGCATCGACAGACGGAGGAGCAGCAGGAGAAGAAGAGAAGAAGACGAAGCATCGACAGACGGAGGGAGCAGCAGGAGGAAGAAGAAGAAGAAGACGAGGAGCATCGACAGACGGAGGAGCAGCAGGAAAAGAAGAAGAAGAAGGAGCATCGACAGACGGAGGGAGCAGCAGAGCAGAAGAAGAAGAAGAAGGAGGAGCATCGACAGACGGAGGGAGCAGCAGGAAGAAGAAGAAGAAGACGAGGAGCATCGACAGACGGAGGAGCAGCAGCAGAGAAGAAGAAGAAGAAGACGAGGAGCATCGACAGACGGAGGAGCAGCAGGAAGAAGAAGAAGAAGACGAGGAGCATCGACAGACGGAGGGAGCAGCAGCAGCAGCAGGAAGAAGAAGAAGAAGACGAGGAGCATCGACAGACGGAGGAGCAGCAGGAGAAGAAGAAGAAGACGAGGAGCATCGACAGACGGAGGAGCAGCAGAAGAAGAAGAAGAAGAACGAGGAGCATCGACAGACGGAGGGAGCAGCAGGAGAAGAAGAAGAAGAAGACGAGGAGCATCGACAGACGGAGGGAGCAGCAGGAAGAAGAAGAGAAGAAGACGAGGAGCATCGACAGACGGAGGGAGCAGCAGAGGAAGAAGAAGAAGAAGACGAGGAGCATCGACAGACGGAGGAGCAGCAGCAGAAGAAGAAGAAGAGACGAGAGCATCGACAGACGGAGGGAGCAGCAGGAAGAAGAAGAGAAGAGAGGAGGAGCATCGACAGACGGAGGAGCAGCAGGAAGAAGAAGAAGAAGACGAGGAGCATCGACAGACGGAGGCAGCAGCAGGAGAGAAGAAGAAGAAGAAGAAGGAGCATCGAGACGGAGGCAGCAGCAGCAGCAGAAGAAGAAGAAGAAGAAGAGAGGAGCATCGACAGACGGAGGGAGCAGCAGGAGGAAGAAGAAGAAGACGAGGAGCATCGACAGACGGAGGAGCAGCAGGAAGAAGAAGAAGAAGACGAGGAGCATCGACAGACGGAGGGAGCAGCAGGAAGAAGAAGAAGAAGAAGACGAGGAGCATCGACAGACGGAGGAGCAGCAGCAGCAGGAGGAAGAAGAAGAAGAAGAGAGCATCGACAGACGGAGGGAGCAGCAGGAAAAGAAGAGAAGACGAGGAGCATCGACAGACGGAGGAGCAGCAGGGAAGAAGAAGAAGAAGACGAGGAGCATCGACAGACGGAGGAGCAGCAGACGAGGAGCATCGACAGACGGAGG